TTAACAATGATTCATGGGGTAAAAGCGTTAAGGAAGCGATGATAAAAGTTTATTTATTTATAACAAATGGCAGGCGTTTTGATAGTTATCATTAGCCCTTTCGCTGACTTCGGGCTTCACAGAGGGGAGGAGGAACATCAAAGTGAGAAGAATTCAGGAGGGGGAATAGAAGGGTGTTTCAAAGATGTAAAAGAAACAGACACAAAGGCTCAGAAAGGATAAGATAAGTAGTGGTAGGGGTCGAATATGACATACAATGGGGTGAGGGTAGTTTGAAGTCAGAAGTCAATTGCCAGTTAATAGACTTTGTTGCCGTATGAGTATACGTTGCCCAGGATGCACCACGTGGAGGTAAGTCTATCGCACACCCCAGTCCCCCTATTATCGATTATTGAATTCATGGGGTAAAAGGGTTAAGGAAGCACTGAAAAAAGTAAACAGGAGCACTTTTCCACTCATTCCCCCCCCCCTCCCCCCCCNCCCCCCCCCCCCCCCCCCCCCCAACCCCCCCAAGTGAAGCGAAGATAAGATAGGAGTAACTTAACCTTATTAGTTATTCTCAGTTTCGGTGTCGAATTCAATCTTTGAAATAAAATAAATAGGGAATAATCTCTGTAAATGCACGTTCTCTGTGGTCTTGAGTAATCTTTGCTAATATCTAAACCAAACAAACACGTATTGATGAAAGACAAAGGGACGGTAGCCAATATAAGCGCTCCTGTCCACTCTCAACTCTGCTCTGTCCTGATTACTCTTTTAATCACCATCTCCGCGCATAATCAGCTGAGTTCATCTCTCTTCTTCTTCTTCTTCTGAGTTTTTTTGGCCATCTTGACTCTTTCTTATTTCTTCTCCATACAACTTCCGATCTGCTGATTTAGAGAAGGCGATTGAAATGAGGAGCTATATCTGGCTCCACTTTGACTTGGCCTCTAAAGTCACGTCACACGACCTTTTTGAAATTTGGTGCTATCTAGAAGTCAGTATGCATTTCACCATTCTGTTTGATAGCTTAATTTTGACATTTTACTAAAGACGTGTGAAATCCATTTTAAGCTTTAAATGAAACCATTAAATACCATTTTTGAGCACTATCGAACAGAATCACGAATTTGTTGTTCTTAATTAACATGTATACAGTTGCGACCAACCAAAGCTCTGGATTTACTAATTCCGGATAGAGACAAATTTGCATTTAGCAAAATCGACAGATAAATGGTCAAAATTCAGTTGTTTATGTGCTCTGATCAGTGTGTTTGTGAAGAGGTGGAATCTATTTAAGCCATGACAACGTACTCTATAAGAAACCCAGAATTCATTTGACCTTGAATTGAATTCTGATTTGTAATCAGTAATAGTAGACTGTGAAAGCAGTAGCCTTTGAACAACCAATATGTATTTAAAAACGCCTTTTTCAAATGTTCATCCCATCTGTCATAAACAAATTGATATATTTCATTCCCCCAACATGAAAGTTAAATGGCGTTTATTTGAGATACATTCTTAGCAGCTGTTGCAATAATGAAAGATCTTATTTAATTATCGAACTAAACTACTAGTATACATACAGATCTCTACTGACCTTGAAGAGCGATCTCTAATTGGCTAAGCCAATTAGCTAATTTTGGCGGTTTCAAATGTTTCCTCTCCTCTTAATCTCAAACAAGGACCCTTTTCATGCATTATTAAGAAAAATAAGATCGAATTTGATTTCACTGTAACATGAAATTTTCGTGTTGCTGACGAAAACTGTTCAGGACCAAAGGGCATATAACTGTCTCAGACCAGACAAGATGTTTCCTTTATAACTTATTACCAACCTCATTATCAATTGGATGTGTCCCAACTTTCCCTGCATTTGATGGAAAGTTTGAAATATGTTAAGCTATCTGATTTGTCGATCATGTTACTACTTGGGAATTAGAAACAGGACAATGTAGTTATTCAGAACCCGAGTTATACTCAACGACATTCCCATGCTCTTTGAAAAGAAAGCTGTTATTTAGACGAAATGACTACTTCATCTCGCTCGTAAATATTTAAACGTTTCCCACAGACCTATATGCTCATTAATTCTACATTGTTCATTAGCCGTTCCATACTGCATCTTTAATTAAGGCACATTGCTTTCATCTCTTCTGTTGGTTAGACGGTTTATCCCTTGAAGGCTGACAATGGTCAACCAACATGTTGAAGCCCTCATGCTATTTATTAGCTCATTACATTCGAATGCTTTTTGGAATGGTGTCTTTTTTCACTAAATAAATCCAGAAAAATATCATTACAGACGTAACCAGCCAAAGATTTGGTTATTACTTTAAATAGATTTATTTTGCACTTGTTGCCCAAAAACGTTTATTGGGTGTACTAGAATATTCTGAAAAATGAGGTCATGCTGTCGGTCACATGGTAAGCAAATACGGTCGTGCGAGCAGGGTCATTTTCATCTGATCAGGAATTAAAATTCACTCAAGGTTATGTAATATTTACTCATTTACTGATCATGCCTGCAGTTGGGTATAATATGTAATGAGCTCTATTCACGTTCTCTAAATTGTGTTTTATCGACACAGTTGATGCAGTTTAGCTATTTTCTGCGCCAAATTCAAATGATAGAGATTTTGCCAGCGAAAACTGTTAAGATTTAACCAAGACCCACTTGTGTAGTATGCGGTGCACTGGTAACTCAAAATTAATGTAACTTTAAGACCACAAGAAACGGTATTAACTACGCTAATAAGTAGCTGAGCTTTCAACATGCTTTACTACAGTTCAAATAATAAGATTTGAATGTTACTTAATAAGGAAGCACAGAACTAAGTCGATGCCTTCGAGGATTCTCGAATTATTATTGTGAAGCTCCCAATCATGCCTCAATTTAGGTTTCTAAATTAACATTTTTTTCGATGACCATATAGCAAGTGTCCTTTCGAGCTAATTTTGTATTTTCCGTGAAAAAATGAAGTTTTCAATAGGGAGCTTTAAACAGACGATACAAAGATATTTTGGTATGAAACAAAATTAATAAAATTATAGATTTTTGAGTGCATGCAAAATTGATCAATTTTTCCAATTTCATGTTAAAAATTTTGATCGAACTGATCATCTTCGGAATCTAACTCATCGTGAATTATTGCCTCAAAATTGACCACTAACTTATAAGAAGTTAAGAAAAGTGAATTTGTTGATCAAATAGTTGCGGCAAGCAAAAATGTATTGAGTTCTAATGAAGGCCATTAAAAATTCTTTGTGATTTGAAGCTTTGAGCATACGGTTTTTAAACCATTTTGTTTCGGAAAATTCCAATCTAAATTTTTAATATACGATTTTAAATTATTGCCCTAAATAAATTTCTCTTGATCAGAATGCGCATTTTAAAATTTCACTGATGACTCAAATTGGACAGGATTATAGGGTCTTTTTGAAATCGAGAAAATTTCGCTTATGCACCTCAGAATTTCGCATTCCACTTTTCAGATTTGCATTTTTCTTCTAAGATTTAACTTTTCGTTTTGTATTAAAAGCAGTAAAATGCTTGAATTTTTTAGCAATTGGATTTTTAATGATAGCATTGACATGTTTTGCTAATGTTTCAGAGTTGGAGTATCTTTCATTTTACATCTCAAATAAACTAATAAAGAAACGCAATGCAATGAGGTAAACTTCTGAACGAGTTCAAATAGAGTTATAAGTTAACGAAGTTTGTGTGATACTCCAATGTACTTCATTTGAAATATCATTTGAAGGTTATGAACTACCCAGTACAGGATCAAGCAAGTACGTATTTTACATCAAATAACTTTCCATATTCACGTCTTCATAACACTTCTCAGGCTTTATATTTTTCATATTTTTTGAGCAATCCACATATTATGATTATACGTTCATTAAAATATAAAAATTTCAATTTTACTGGCAAAATAGTATGCATTGGAGTGTGAGATAGCTCTATATAGAAACTTATCCACTTTCGATTAAATCGAGTGTTGAATTAAGTCACACTGACAAGTGCTGCATGCTAGAATAATTATGACATTTTTCAAGAGTTGATCAGTTAAACTGAAAATTTTCAAGTATGCTATGCAATACACAAGTCAAAAACCATCTTTTGATCGAGTATTCATTCATTTCTACTTATTTTCACAAATATTTAACATCTATCTGTGATATAAGCGAATGTTTTACCAATACACCAATCTTAACATAGAAATAGATTTTGAAGATCGGATTATGCGCGGTACAAGCAAAGATTTGAAATTTTTGCCTCTAATAGAGATGTTTGATGTTTGATTTTAAGGGTTTAAATTTTAATAACTAACTAGCTCCAAATTGCTACATAAGTCTCTATACAGCAGACATTAATCAACACATTGAGATCAGAATGAGTGGTTGACGGCATTCGCAGACAATAATGCACGCAAAATGTATCAAATCATTACGCTGTTGGATAATATCCATAAAGAAATATGTAATGGCAAAAGTCGGCAGATTCATATTATAAACAGTAATACAAACAATTATACTATGAGAAAAGTCTAATGGAGCTTTCGAAAAAAGTTGGATTAATTCGGCAAAGAAATTAAACCAATAAATTTAGAAAGATTTTTAAATCTATAATTAAGTAAAGAAATTGTGATATCTCGAATAATAAATATCTAGAAAGTTTGAAATACATTTTCAAATAATACCAAGAAAACTTACTTTGTTTTCTATAGACTTTTATACGTCTTTTATTTTATCACATTGACAAAGACCTCCAAAATTCAAATCATTTGAGTTATTGGTCTCTTAATTTAATCAAAGCATTTCTATTTATTTTTTATGAGTTCAATATCCACCATGTTTCAATTTTTCATATTTTATATGCGAAATTTACTCCGCTTTCTTAATAGTTGACAGCCATCTGAAGCACATATATTTGCTCCTGTTTTTGGTTTTTATTAAATTTAGCCTTTTTCTGTAGCTGAAATTCTTTATAATGTTGTACTTTCCACAAAGGTATGAGTTTACCACAAGTGACAGCCTCTTCTGGGCAGGATCCCCCTGTTGATCCACAGCCTCAAAATTCACAATACAGTCAATTCGAATGTCTTGGTACTCCCTCTGGACTTACCCTTACCCGCAACGAAATTAATCGCCTTATCCTCGAATACCTCATTGTTGAGGGCTATAAGGATGCGGCAGAGAAGTTCCAACTTGAAATCGGCATGGAAGAGCCTTTATCAAATGTCCATTCAACTGGTGCTAGTTTAAAGGAGAGGATGGAAATTCGTGAGGCTGTCTTAAGCCGCCGGATTGAGTATACTATTGATCGAGTTAACCAATTATGGCCTGAATTATTTGAAAATAACCCGTACATTTATTTTCAGGTATGTTTAGTTATTTACGCGCTTTGATTATCGATCTGGTTTGTAGCTACGCCAATTGGAAATGTTGGAGTTGATTCGAGTTGGGAATTTAGAGAAGGCTTTAACCTTCGCGCAGACTCATCTAGCCGGATCTCTTCATAACCGCCTTGAACAATTTCCACAGCTACTTCAAGAAGTTGAGAATACTATGGCCTTAATTGCTTTCTCAGATCCAATTAACAGCGCTTACGGTTCCCTGCTAGATTCTCGTCATGTTGAACTCGTAGCTGGAGCCTTAAACCGCGCAATTCTTTGGCATATCGAGAGCAACGGTGGTGAAGGTGATTCGACCTTCACCGACAACGTGAATGGAAAGTCTGCTTCTGGATCTCCACTCTCTAAGGGGACCTGTCATGCGAATTCGGCGACAGTCCCCCGGTTGACCAAATTGGTTGCTATGCTCTTGCGTTTCCGTAACATCTCTGAGTCTGAATTAACCAAAGAACTTGACTCGATTTAGGTCTGCTTTTACTTGGTTGTCTTGTATTTCTCTCCTTCATCGTTTGAAGTGACACTTGAACTGCTCTATATTCCTTTTTTCATGTATCTACGTGTTGACAGACTTCTGTTATACTATGCTGATAAACGAAACATATATGAACACATATCTACGTTTTCAATTTTCATACCGATATAATTTTGACTTTGCGCTTGCAGTGAGTCTGGTCATAAACGGTTAACGGCATGGTCTACTCTACCGGGTAGGAGAAAAAGAATGCTCGATTATTGTCATTATTGATTTTTATTAGTCAAGTAGGGCATTTGAATGCTGACTTTCTTGTCTTGGTTTTCGTCGTTAAAGCATGAATTAGTTGTGTACCGGTGTAATTGAACTGAAAAATTCGGTGTACCAGCTAGTGAATAGTCCCACGCTACCTTTGTAGGCTTGGTTTTCAATAACAACTTTATGAGCAGATATGAGCTGAGTTAGCAATGAATAAGTATCCGAGTTTGCTCACTCTCTCATAAAGCATTTCGGTAAGAATTCTTGAACATTTTGCTCGGAATGGCCTTTTTATCAGCCTTCTCCATCACAAGCCTGGGTTTTAAAGAATAGAGAAGGAGAAGAAGAAGGTTTGGGTCATGCCAAGTGCACATGGTGCACTGAAGCAAAAGGCCTGAAAAGTCACTAACTTGCCGCTGACTGGCTGAAACATCCCAAAAGAGTCAATTTCCGTCCCTTAAATGCAAAAACCCCACGAGGACTGAAAGTGACAATTCGTGCTTAGATTTGAGGTTTACGAAAGGGTATGTATTCTTCGACCTGAAATTAACTAATGGAAACTCGGCAACGCTTAAATCTAATATTAAAAACCCTTTTATTTTCCAAAATACTTGCCCTTACGCTTGAGATCTGAGCAGCATCTCTGAAGGGAAACAATTTGCTTGCCAAAATAAGAAATTGGGTAGTTGCTATGACTCCTAAAAAAGACTACCACGTTCTAATCATGGAAGGTGGTTGAAGAGAAAAGCGGCAAGCGGCCTACGAAATATGAAGTGGAACAGGCAGTGGGCAAGGAGATCATCAAGAATCTCGGCTTGTTCTAGCATTCGAGGCATTTAATTGGCCTCAATTCCACCAAGTGATAGACCGCGCAATCTCATGTTTCAGGCTTCGTGATCCCGAGTTCCAAACTTGAGTGGTCATATCGTCTCGGTTATTTAATCGCTTTAGAGGGATTAAACTATATGACTCTTTTCTTTTCCAGTGTTCACCAACGAATTTTCAAACTTTGAAGTCTGCTTCGATCACAAAAAAAACGACTCGACATGTTTCGACTCCAAAAACACTTGAGCTTCAGATATGTCGACTATTCTTAAGGTATCCCAGAACTGGCGTTCTTTTAATTTTCCCACCTTAAAGATTGTTGCAACAATCGTAAAAGCCCTTCACCCGATTACCAACCTCACCAATTAAGCAAAATCACATTGTAAGAATTAAGAATAAAAACAGCCATTTAATAAAATGACAGAGGAAAAGCCTATACATAGATACTTTACAAATATAAAAGCGGTAAACTATAAGGCACACAGATGATCTATTGAAATCGAGTTGTTAGTTTCATCAATTTCGGCTTGGACGCACCACCACCAGTGCTTGAGCCGGACCTGGAGCCACAAAAAAGAAAAAAAACCGATCAACTTGTTTCAACTAATGATGGTCGTCTTTTTTTGTGAGGGGATACTTACTGAAGCCATCCAGAATTTGAAGGAGCGGGTCGTTTATAGGCTCCACTTTTGACAACACCTCCACGGGCAGCTGTAGCCCGTTTTGCACCCGCTCTTTTGGCTCCAAATGCTCGACCCTAGCAATAAAAACCCGTATTACTTAAATGTAAATTCAGTAGTTAATTCTAAAATAAAAGTACTGGAGGACCTACGTGAATCTCAAGGTGCTAAATCATGCCTTACCCTAAAGTCTTATCACTGCAATGCACTATTTAAATGCCACATAATTCCAACTTCAAAAGAGACACGATTTTCACACAAACGTACTTAGGCGAGAGAAATGAAATTTGCACGAAATTTTCCGAAATCAAATCTAATTTGCATCAGTGGAATACTAAAAAAACACGCGAGTCTAATATAATAAAGACTACGGTTTCCAAACCCGATGGTATACATTCAGCGATTTCAAAACCGAATAGCACTGCCAACAGAAGAATGTAGCACATTGGAACCCTCCAATTTTATCAAGCAGAGGTGTGCGATAGACTTACCTCCACGTGGGCAACGTATATTCATCATACGGCAAAAAGTCTATAAACTGGCAGTTGACTTCTGGCCTCAAACTATCATGACCCGACTGTATGTCATATTCGACTGCTTTCACAGTACTCATCTTACCCTTTCTGTGCCTTTGTGTCTGTCTGTTTCTTTTACATCTATGAATCACTCTTCTGTAGCCCCCTCCCCTCTGTGAAGGCCGAAGTCAACTAAAGGGCTAATATGATAACTATTAAAACGCCTGCCATTTTTTATAAATAAATATTGCATCAAGCCATAAAACTAGATGAAAAGTTAATTTATACCTTAGCGAAGTAGCGTGAATGGAATGCTTTCTTGGTAGCCTTTTGAGGTGCTGGAAATCCATTGGCAGATTTTATCGCTGTAACTGGTTGCTCCGCGACGAGTTGATCTGCCGTCTTTTTCAACTCCTTCTCCTCTTGCTTGAGAACTAAAACAATGGGCAAAAATAGTTGGGAAACGCAATTACTGCCATATATAATGGGAAGAAAATTTGAGGGGGTCAAACAGTCCAGGGCTGTGGCAATTATAGTACCGTAAGTTTGCGTTCAATGACCAAGCAGGAAAGTTATTACTGCGCGTAAACGAATTAAGGGAATATATATGGGAATTAAATATCCATGGATGCTGAAGAGGCACAAAACTCGCCACATGGTATTAAAAGTGGGGAGATGGATGCGTGTCTAGTCTCTTCTAGGAAAGTGCCTTGGAAAGCTCACATGGAGTGGTGAATGAGTGGCATTATAGAAGCTAACTGTAGACCAGATTTAACCAGTGTGTGCTTGGACATTCCAGCGATTGGGTGGGCATCGAAACTCTCCATCCCCCTTGAAATCCTATGACCTTAAAAGCAGGGGGGGGGGTGGGAAATGGGTAGTCGATTTACAAAAATACTAACCCCCAATAACGCCAAGGGCACACACACACACACACACACTGGATTCATGCAGTGAAGTTTTAAATAAGACAACACTGACAGCAAATTCATAAATAGACGTCAAGAATTATTACGAAAAGTTAGTAGATTGAAAAAGCACTAGGTAATCATGAGATGTTCCGTAATGCTTATAACTATAATGATTCCGATCTCGAGACCGGCTGTTTGGATGGACAAATTGTGTCGACTATAGGATTGCTACACCATCCTCTAGTAAGCACCACCACAGCACAAGTATAGGAAAAAGATAGCAAAAAAATGACAATAAATCACTGAAAGTCGGTACTTCAAGATCACAAAATCTATTCAAACAAACACTGCCTAAGTCCCTGGAATGAACAATAAGAAAAATTGTAAACTAGGAAACTAACTTCCAAGAATTGAGAGGTACTTGAGAGTCACATCAAGGAAGGAGTCGGTGGCATTGAATCGCGTCAACTTGTACTCTGTGCACTGCGGTATCTTCAGCAGCTCCTCCTTCGAAGTGGGCAGCTGATCAGCAATCTCCAGAAGCATCTCGTTGGGAAATACGATGGCGTAGTTGGAGATACCCTGGTAGGAGGCTTTTCAAAGAAAAAGAGCGGTGAGGAACAAATGTGATATCACTAATAGAAAGAGGCATACATGGGCTGGCATAGAGAAACGGAAAAAATAGTCAGGAGCAAACAGAAGCATTTAAGGGGTGGGGGTGGGGGGGGGTGGAGGAGGAGGAAGGGTTGAACTTACTGAGCTGCTTGGCGATCTTGACGAGAGATTCGTAGCATTCTTTGCGCACACTGGCAAACTTATCTTTAGGCTGCTCACCAACCACGGGGACGTCAGCTCCACGAGCCTTCACGTTCACTGCAACTGGAAGCATTATCTGCAAAAAAAAACAACCAAAAATGGGAGTAAATGGGAATTTTTCATACAAAGAATGCAATAACTATCGCATTGTGTATTGCTGCCGTTATCCTGGGCACTATTTCAGGAAATAGAATAGCGCGTTACTGGAAAGAAATAGGAGCTACAGAATTCCTTCCTCATAATAGAATAAGCCATTACCTTGCAATGCACAAATTCGGTCTAGCAGACTAGTTGGACATTGACACCTCAAAGCACACACACACACACACACACACACACACACACACACACACACACACACACATATGTATATATATATATATATATATATATATATATATATATATATGTATCGCTTTTACACTCAATAAGTGAGTGAGCACAAGCAGGTATTTATACCGGAGGCACGACGCCTTTTAGGGTGTGGGATAGACTTACCTCCACGTGGTGTACTCTGGGCAACGTATACTCCCATACGGCAAAAAAAGTCTACTAACTGGCAGTTCACTTCAAACTACCATCACCCCACTGCAAGTCATATTCTACTACCTCAACAGTACTCACCTCGCCTTTTTTCTACATTTGTGTCTGTCTTTTTTGCATCGTTAAAACACTCTTCTTGTTCCTCCCCCCTCTCGACTTTTTTCACTTTGATGTTCCTCCTCCTCTCTGTGAAGCTCCGAAGTCAACTAAAGAGCTAATGATAACTATCAAAACGCCTACCATTTGAAATGGATAAACGAATACCTAAAGCAGTTTAAGGATACGTAAATACGTTGCCCGTTGTGGTGTGATTTTTCCCAATCGGGATGATAAAATCTTAATGAGCGATTATTTCTTCCTCGGATTGCAACAAAGAATTCAGGTGAATTGGAAGCGATGGCAACGCACCGACAGACTCCAATAAAGTGAAATAATTTTAGGCGCATCTTACGAATATTCAAGGTAGTCACTTCGAGAACTCTGTTTAAAACTCGCTCTGAAACTGACATGAACCCTTAATTAGGGGAAATCAATGGCGAATTAAAATTCCCTATTAAGACAGGCGCATTTATAGTCTATTCCCATTATCGAATAAATAAAAACCGAGTTTTTACTAACACCACGAGAGACGTTATTTCGAGATGGAAATGAGACAGGAGAATGAAATAAATCTGAAATTACCTGGAGTTTACCGTCAAGAAGAAGGTTGGTTTTAGGACCAGGTCGCAGATAAGTAGCAATTGTGTCCGCAGCAGTGACAGAAAATTCCTCATTGAGCACTCGATCAGCGAGTAATTTGTGAAGAAGACGCTCCGCATCCATTTTCGAGTAGTTCGAACCCTTTCCATAAATGGGGAGGCTGTTATCTCTAAGACGCTGAACTTGAGCCGTCTGTGCTCCTAAAAGACATATTAGGACAAACCAGAATTGAGCACAGGAATGAACACCTATAGAGAGATCTGGAGTTGAACCAATTATCAGCTATTGCCTAGTCACTTCTAGGAAAGCATCTTCGAAAGCATTGTAGAAAGTGACTTCATCTTTGCTGATTAGATTTAACAAATGTGCCTGGCCATCCCAGTGTTTGAGTGTAAATCGAAACTGTGGACCTTAGATATATACAGATAAGTAAGTTAAAACCACTAAACGTTACCGATGCTCAACCAACCCCCCACCCCATATCCTCCTAATTTAACTGCCTTCTTCATCTTCTTCTTAAGAAAAACTGGAACATAGAGAAAAGTGACATTTTACCTACCTCTAAAAATATCCACCAGGTAGTTGAGAGTGACATTGCGTCGACAATTGACGAGGCTAATCACCGATTCAACAAGAGCCTTGGCATCAACTGTGAGATCTCTCTGAGTCACCTTTTGATGTTCAGCCGCATGACAATTGTCACATTCACAACCAACCACCAAAGCGCAGTTCGTCGAGTCGAAAGCCTCTCCAAAGTGAGCTAGGATGAGCCGACGACGACAATCAATCACATTGTCGCAGTAGGAAACCATCTTGAAGAGTGCGTCTTCGTGAATTTTTACAGTGGAAGCTCCATGACCGCCTGGACTGCTCGCTAGAAAGTACCACAAAAAATATAAACAGATTTTTAACAGTAAATCCCGATAAGGCTGGAAGTGCAAAGAGCACGACAAAACAATTGTACTAATTTAGACATCCCATAGAAACTTTAACACACCGAAATGAGGTTATACAGTGGGGGAAGATGAGAGTTATGATAGGCACAAAAGTAATGGATATATTACCGCAACAACCCGATTATTTCTAATTAGCAATAACAGAGGCCACAATCGACCTGAAAAGAGTTAAAATTTCATGGATTAAACATTAAGTCATTTACTACTGTTCATTATAAAGTTGCGATCATAGTAAATTAAAAACGCAAGAGTTCTTCAGTACGAGGTGAATCTAATTGGGGTGTGCGATAGACTTACCTCCACGTGGTGCACCATGACAAGGGGTGTGCGATAGACTTACCTCCACGTGGTGCACCCTGGTGGGTGTGCGATAGACTTACCTCCACGTGGTGCACCCTGGGAAACGTATACTCATACGGTAAAAAGTCTATTAACCGGAAGTTTGTGTGCGATAGACTTACCTCCACGTGGTGCACCCTGGGCAGCGTATACTCATACGGCAAAAAAGTCTATTAACTGGCATGTGACTTCTGACTTCAAAATACCATGGCCCGACTGCTTGTAGCTACCATGACCCACTGTATGGCATATTAGTCTACTTCCACAGTACTCACCTCACCTTTTTTCTACCTCTGAGTCTGTATACTTCCATAGTACTCACCTCACCTTTTTTCTACATTTGTATCTTCCACAGTACTCACCTCACCTTTTTCCTACCTTTTCTAAGCCTCCACAGTACTCATCTTACCTTTTTCTCTACCTTCGTGTTTTTCACGGTACTCACCTCACCTTTGTCCTAACTTTGTGTCTGTCTCTTACATCTTTGAAACACTCTT